TCAGATAGAATTTTTTAAACATTTTTTCATGTTCCTGGTATCTTACCTTACTTGAAAATTTCCTCTGGGGCGCCAGTTCTGGCGCATCCTGTATATTTACAAAAAATTGTTACAGTGAATTACAGAAAATTGTATAAAATAAAAAAAATGTTGCAGTGTCAATTCTTTGTTCCGACATATTAGTTAATAAAAATTTAAATACATGAAAAGTAGTGAATTCCATTTCAAACTATTTAATTATCGAAAAGTTTGTTGTTTACTTTCGGAATGCCTGTATACACAGTCACAATACAATTATCACACGTGTAACAATTGATAGTGTGTTAATAAATGCGTTATATGATTTTTATCGTCTGATACAATCGGAAATTATAAATTTATTCACAGTTTGGCGTTTTATTCAATAATTAAGTCGCTGTTAATAAAGGTGTTGTACTCAAAACATCGATTCGGATGCATTACTAATTACATGATCATCAATAGACCATCAAACACGTTTGCATTTTCCTGTTTGTGCTGTGTAATCTAATCGTTTCACCTATTTCCACTTATCAGCACGACTTAACTACATTTATACTACAATCAATTAATTACATCAAAAACGAAAAAAATTTAACTCCACTAACACACATAAATAAAACAACACATTGATTATTAATTAGTTGTTTGTATTGTTGGCTTTCGTAAACACAAGAATTTACTTTTCCTAATTCTATTTAAAATTCGGGTTATAAACATTTACACATACGTTGGTACTACTGTTTAATTTATTTAGTGACACATTTCTCATCTAGTAACTTGAGATGTGACAAATTTTTAAATGTTTATTTAAGTCGGTTGCTTAGACATTTCAATTTATTTTAATTTTATTTTTTGAAAATTAGAATTACATTAGGTGTAGGTGAAGGGAAATGTCAAATCTCGACAAATCACGAAAACGATTGGCAATGACAAACGAAATTGACGCTTTGATTGATTTACATGAATATTAGTCAATAATAAGAGAAGTAAAATTATGCAAAATGTATTTCAACAAAAACACGATGATTTTATAATCAAAAACATACTAGAGAACAGTTTTTTTTATAAGGTCATGACCCTGACAACCGTTAAAACGTCTATCACCGTCGTAATATAAAAACGCCAACGCCTGAGGAAAACTTAAATCATAAAAACTTCCAAAATATCCTTAATTTTATGTTTCAAGCTGAAGGTGGATACGACAAAAAGAGGTATAAATATAAATAATATTCGTTCTCATGTAACTAGCAGTCTAGCAGTAACATTTCGGTGTCAACAAAAAAATTGGTAACACCATTCTTGTGTACACATTTTTCGCACTTGAGCTCATTAAATTTGGTGTACCGTTTGACGGAAATTTTAAAATTTCCAACATTTTATAATTTTATTTAAAAATATAAAAACAACTTGACTAAGCACTATTTTATTTTTGTATTTGAGAGCTAAATGTGATTCAATAAAAATCAATACACTTTTAGACTACTAATTTATAAAATTTGCATAAAAATTTTTAAACTGGGTAAAGATGTATATGGAAGCCATCGTAAATTTTTACCAGATTTTGTGGAAATAAGAAATAATAATAAGAAATAAAAATAAAAATCTAGAGGGTTAGAAAAAAACAGATGCGATAATTTAAGTCTTTACTTTCTTTATTTTATTACATCTTTCTTTCTTACATCATCTTTTTTTCTTAATTCAAATAAACAGGATTACAAAATAAAAACTGTTTCATACACTTCAGGTAATGACACAGAAGGCGATATTAAAAAAACTGAACTGATTTTTATTCCCGTGTTCTTTACGTTAATAAGTTTTTATTTGTTAATTTTTATCATAAAATTCCGAGTTGACCATTCTCGCCCAGATTTTTTTTTATATACAGGATGCGCCAGAACTCGTGCCCCAGAGAAAAATGCCATCCATATAAGGTAAGATACCAGGAACATGGAAAAAATGTTAAAAAATTTTATACCTAAAAGTTATGAGGGTTTACTTTTACTCTATTTATTTCTGTTGGAAAAATAATTTAACAAGTTTTTTTGCTACAGGCTATTAGAAGAGGAAAGAAAGAAGGCTTTTATTGGCAAAATTTGTGTTCCTTTACTAAATAATTATAATAAAACATATCAGATCATCAGTTTCATTAAATAGACATAAAAAAATGTAACATGTCAAAAAATAAATGTCAAATTTTTTTGACACAGATAGAATTTTTTAAACATTTTTTCCATGTTCCTGGTATCTTATCTTACTTGAAATTTTTCTCTGGGGCGCGAGTTCTGGCGCATCCTGTATATGTAATATGTAGAGAGAGGTAGGTTGTTATCGCTAATTTGTGTTTGACAGTTGTACATAAACAAAATGATTTTCATATAGAATAAAAAATGCCGCTTTAAAAAATAGGTATACATAATTTGAAAATATACTTCAAAAGTGATTAGATGAGGTTAGTAAAAAACGATTTCTGAGAAGAAATTTGAAAAGGGCCAAATGCAAATGTTTAAAGTGGCCACTGTTTTGCTGCATGCATAAAATGTTAATTTATTTCGATTGACATCAGCTGTCACTTGTGACAGAATTATCTGGTTCAAAAAGAGCAGAGCGGCACAAAAAAATTACATGTAAAGAAATTCCATAGGCGACTAGATAAAAATTATTTTTGAAGGAAAGAAAAATTAGGTTAACACACTACTCATTTTTTATAAAAATACCAACGTTAAATAAATAAGAATGACGCTTATTGTAACAAAAATTTTGACTAAAATGCGTACTGGAATAGTGTCATTCCAGTTCTGAAACAGAAAAACTTTTTAAAACACAAATAAAATATCAATTTAAAACACGTTTTTTACTCAATTCGAATTTTACAATGCATTTGAACCACCAATCCAAATATGGTATTACATATTATCATGTTGGTACCTGATAAGTTTTAGTGATAAGAATTGCCAATGTTATAATCAATATAACACGCACTGTGTCCATCAAAATGACAGTGAGGTCAAAAAATTTCAATTTTTGTCTATTTTAGTATTTATTTTCGCAACTGTACGGGGTGCTGCATTTTGGAGGTCCGAATAAGGAATCTCCGAAACTAAGAGGTTTAGCCAAAAACGAGTAATACATTCTGGGGCTCATTTTTTGAGAAAATAATATTGGTTAAAACCGCATTCCGCTATCGTCTTTTGTTTTCGACTTATAGACAAAAATTGACATTTCAGCGAAATCTAAGATTTGAAATAAAGACATTATACAGGCACTTTTTTACGTAGAATTTAATAATGTAGTTAACAATTTTTTTCACTTGTTTGTTTAGCAGTAATAAAATAAACTTGTATTTTTTTAAATGGGAATCATAGATGGCTGTCACTTAAAAAATATATATTTGTAACAAATTGTTATAATACATTTTTAGCAAAAAATTATCTTTGATTTTTGTTCGCAGTTGGCCATGAAAAAATGTTGTATCTTCAACTAAAAGGATTTAAACTGTATTATATTCAACTAGTGTCACTAATGAAAGAGTTTTCAAAGTACTAAGTGATGAAAAAGATGCAAAATAAATCGTAAATCAACTTATTGGCGACTAATAACATTTCTTTGTTTTTAAACAAGCTAACATTACCATTGCAACTTCTAGTGATACATAGAGTGTTGGAAAAAAAGCCGCTTTAATTCTTCAATAAAATATATTTTATATGACACAAAAATGACGATATGGATATTCAAATACCCAAATACCGTCTACGTGAAACGTTATCCTACCTCCATTAGATCATCAAAAAAATGTTTTTTGTAATTGTGTTGACTGTTGACACATTTATTTTTCCTATTTTTGGATTTTTTAAAAATATGTAATAATTTTGTTCTGAGGCACACGCTCACATATTTGTTCAATGCTTCTACCGTATCGTATTTTTTAAATCTTTATAATTTTATCTATTTTTTCATCTATTTTACAGTTCACAAAACTCTTATTGATTATTATTTACACATTTGGAGTGAAATAGTTTTTCCATGGCCAACTATTATCAAACAAAATATGTATTTCATTTTTTAAGTATAATTATAAAAAAATATTCTGTTACAAATGTATATTTTTTAGATCAGAAAAAATAAGCTTTTCAAAATTGTCATAGCCGCCTATGATTTCCATTTAAAAAAATACAAGTTTATCTTATTACGGCTAAACTAATAACTGAAAAAAATTGTTAACTACATTATTAAATTCTACGTAAAAAAGTGCCTGTATAATGTCTTTATTTCAAATCCGTATCTTCTATAATAACGAAGATATGAATTTTTTTTGTCTGAAGTCGAAAACAAAAGACGATAGTGGAGATTCCCTATTCGGACATCCAAAATGCAGCACCCTGTACAATGAAGAGATTACTTTGAAATCACCTGTATTATCTACTAAATAAACATTATTATAGTTTGTAACCATAAAGGTATTGATGTTTCTGCGAAAATAAACAATAAAGGAATTAAGTTGTTACCTACAATTTAATCAGTCTTGCCATAATAACGGTACCGGTGAAATCAAGTTGTTTACTGCAAGTTGGCAGTACCGTATTCACAACAAATTGAAACAAAGTCTCATTTTCGTCCATTTATTTTGAAATAATTGACATTTTGTGAGATCTAGAACACTATGATTTGACAGAGCCCGCTTCACACAAGCAAAAGCTCATTTGTTGTTTTTGTTTTAGTAAAATATCGTTCAACGAGCGTCAAGATTATCTCCAACTAATTGGTTTTTATCAAAGAAGTGTTTACGAGCAACCTTGAACTGAATTTGTTGCAAAAACACACATTAAAAGAATTCTCAAAAATACCGTGACGCCGTCGGCAGCCTACTAGATGATAAAATACCTGCAACGCGGCGGCTCGGGGCTCGCCATTGTTGGTGGGAACCTCCTCAAAGTGTCGGAATGCGAAGTTATAAATTGCGAAAAAATAGTGAAAATACGTACCAAAAAAGCGCGTCAAAACGTCCGATCAATAAGAAAGCGAGACGTAATCCAAAAAGGACACTGTAATCCAAGTTATCCGTGAAGCAAGCACTGACACTGCGATGCACTTGATCACAAAGAATCGAGTGTAAAATGGCACTTAAAAATAGAAACGGCGGTTTCTGGACAGGACCGAAATAGCCCAGCGATGCGACGTGGCAGCAAAGAAACCAAAATAACAGTCACACACAATCACAAAACGTTTATCTTTGAGTAAACATTCGAATCTGGTTAAGACACCCGAACGCCGGTTCTAGGACACCAGAGGGCGCTACACTCGCGAAAAACGCGCTATTTTCATCACGAAAAGCGGGATTTAGGCCGAGAGACGTCCAAGAACACCAAAGGAAGGAAATGTTGGCTTAAGACAGGCGCGGCTCGAAAATTCAACACGAAACGTCTTCCACCACGGCTCGACCTCGAATGAGAGGCGCGCGCGGAGGAAAACAAGCAGGCGAGGAGTGGGGGTCGACGCTCCTCGCCTCCTCCTCGCCAAAACCACTTTGTTGCCGAGCTCACGTGAATCTAGGAGGCTGAGTCGAGGAGGAAATGCCGACGAGAGAGAGCGGAATACCTTTTTCCAGACCATGGATGGGCGAGGGATGGGTCTTTTCATCCCATTCGAATTTTATCGCTGACAGACAGTGGCCTATTGTCAAACCATTGACTCTTTGACAAATGTCAACCATGGCCACCAACACTCAAAATTGACAGTCGCAATGTCAATTATTGCAGCTTGCTACAGATTTGTCAACAAGAAATTACCACCTAGGATTTGAATTTTTAGGAAAATTACGTTTTTCATGTTGTTTGTAACTAGAATTTTCAGACGGTTGACGTTTTCTGTCAACCTGCTGTCAACTATCAATTGAGTTAACTTACAAGCTGACAGGTGACTTAACCTAAATTTTTGACACTAGTTACGTTATCTTTTGTTTGTCACTATGGCAACCTATTCACGAATATCCCTAAATTCTAGGGAGTAATTTCTTTTTCTTGTTGATACGATAATATCATTTTTTAACAGTTTTTTTTTTGATTTTATCATATTATCATCACTGTTGGCATTCTATCGTTTTTAATAACGAGAAATTGTTATAAACCAACGTATTTCACCTATGCAATTTGAGCTATTTGCAAACTATTTGAGTTTGGCCCCCAAACTTGCCATCGAAAGCTTCAATTTTCTATATTTAAATCTTAATATAAAAACCTTATGACCTAAAGTTTTTTCTAATGTTTTAAATAAAAACATCTTTTTAAATCACACTTATTAATACAAATCATTTTATACCGAGAGAACAAAATAATTTGTAATCGAGTCATTTTTGAATCCGAAAACAAAACGGACAGTACTGTCATTTTCGTAATGTAAACTCGAAAACAACCTTTATATTAATAACCTCATTTTTACTCTTGTCATATTTATGTCATTTTGACTTATTTACTTTCAAAAATAGTGGTTTGTGGCATAATAACGGGTAGCCAGCGATTTAATTACACTTAGTTCAATTAATAAATTTCCTAAGACAGACACATTGTTAAATTAACAATTTTAACAACAAATAAAAATAAGTTTAATTGTCAAATGGCAAAATGGACTGGAATTAGTCGCCGACGTATAATAATAAGACCGTCCTTTTTTGAAGATAAATCATAAATTTAGTTATTAAAAGCATCATCTTCTTGATCATGGGATTTTACCTTTCCACTTGTCATTTTATTTGACGTTTCACAGACATACGTTTTTGGATACAAGGACGAGTCGATTACAAATTATCTTGATCTCTCGATACTTACAAAGTTTTTACTGATTTAAAAAGAAATCATCAATTGTAATTTTCTTTGGGCCACATCTTAGGTGTCTAATTAAATTAAATTTATATCTGTTTGAATAATGAACTTTACAAACTAGCTAGAACACCTTATCGAGTGAGCGGCAAAATTATGGAATAATTTTATTAAAACAGAAAATATTTTGTTTTGGTAAAAATGCTCGAAGAGGTGAATTCTCTTTTTAAAAATTCACAATTTCCAACTTGTTTTACTTTACACTTTTTGGTTTTTAGGTAATGACAGCAGCCAAATTTTTTTTAATAGTAACCACTAATTTTTTTAGTGAATTTGATAGATTTTTCAATTGTCGTAATGGCATGTATTACGTAAAGTTTTTCAAAAAAAAATATATCCAAAAAGTGAAATTTATTAGATTTTTAAATCAAGTTAAAAATTTTGTATTTTTTAAAAGACCTATTCGAGCATTTTTGCCAAAACAAATTATTATTTTTAGTTTTAATAAATAAGATTATTCTATAATTTTGCCGTTCACTGTATACCCTCATCATTCTAAAAAAAAATAGATAGCCCCCCCCCAATATTAATTCCTGGATCCGCCCCTGTGAGTACTGCATACATGAAATGTCAACAGTTTTTGTCTGTCAAATATGATAGATAATAAATTTAGTTTAAAAAGCGCTCAATAGAAAAAATTATGACCGATCATTATGACACTTGATTTTTATTTTTAATACAATTGCGGACACGAAATTTTGGACAATTTGTCATTCAACTGACATAAAAATGTAAAACGGGCCTTATGCAACTAACCTCACTTTCGGTTAGACAACTAGAGAAAAAATAACAACAAATCAAAATAATTTTTTGAACTTCTATAAAAACACGTATTGCTGGTACTGTTGTTTCGGAAAATCGACATCAAAAATAAATTTCAACTAAAACTAATGATAATAAAGCATTGACATTTTCTGAACTGACATAAATTTGATGTCCAAAATTCCGTGTCCGCAATTGTAAGTAGGTACTATTTTACAATTTTTAGATCTGGTTAAACTGTTGAAATGAGCGTTACTTTTACTCCTTTAAACTTGGTATTTTATTATTATTATTATTATTATGACCATTACCAAAAACAAAAAATGTCAATTGAAATAAATTATTTCTAATAATATTAATAGAACATTAAAAACCTAAATTCACCAGATTTTCAAAGTTTTCGTGGTCAAGAATGTTGTGTAAATTTCATGAAAGTTTGTTATGCATCAATTGTTCCGTTTTGTAATGAAATAACAAAACATTTAAGATGTAAATGCCATTACAAACAAACAAAAATGGTACAGCAAGGAAGCAAGGTCATTAAATGTGAAACGACCCTTAGATATTACGTCAGTTTGAACTTGTCAATTGTCACTGATGTATATCTCGAGACTTTTCTAGTAAAAAGTAAAAAATTTGAAGCCAAAGCTTACTTTAGAGTGAATTTTCAAAATTGTATCTTATTTTTTTGCACGGCATGGTACTACTAAGGATAGGTAGAACAGTAATGATACTACCGAAAGTACAGAGTGATTATAAATGATTTTCATCTAGCGAGTTGTGAATTTTCCATGTAAAATAAAAAATGCCGCTTTATGAAAATAGGGGTACCTACTTGTTTTAACTCAAAATTTAAAAATCGCCGTTTATTAAGCGTCCACTTCGACAATAAACTTGTTTTCTTCCAAAGTATACATTATTATCAATTATTATTGAAAATTAGTTGAAACAATAAAAGTTTAATTAACAACAATTTATTATTAATTAATAAGTGACACTAATAACAGAACTAGAGCTTTTAAAAAATTAGAGCGGCACAAATAAAATTACAATTACATTACAAAACAAAATCCAAAGGTGGCTAGATGAAAATCATTTATAAACACTCTGTATTATTTAAATTAAAACTCCTGTCCAGCTACAAATAATAATGTCATTGTAATCAAAAATAAAAATAAATAATTTTTGAAACCTCAGTACAGCCTGCTAGAAAATACATAAAATAAAGATAACAAGTGAAAACATATAGAAACTAGGAAATTATGTAAACTGAAAAGTTTGAAAAAAATTTTCAAGATTTTTTTTAAATCTGCAAATGCAATGTACCACTGAGCAGTTCATGAAACAAATAGAACTGGATTATAGAAAACGCTTCCATTATTTAAAAAAAAAAAAATTAAATTCTAAAATAATAAAAATACAGATACTACATTTAAAAAACTGAAATTGATGTCACTTCCGGTGAAACAGGAAGCAGCATTGCTTTAAAAAAATAGATGACAATAAACTGTGCAACTTTGTTCTAAAAGCTATTGTCATATTTTTAAAAATAGTTTAGTTATAGCTTAAGGCGTCTTTCATAATTCAGTCTGTATAATAAACACAATTTTTAAACAATCTAAGTTCTTGTAGGCAGCATAGCTGCAAAGAAAGAGTTTTTTTTTCAATTATTTCTGAAGTGTCACTCACATTTATACTCGTAGTAATTACTTAACACCTAAAGTTAATAATAATTGAAATCAATTTTTATACTTAAGCTGAATAAGCACGAAATTCCTAACTAAACATCCAAAGATTATTAACCTGAGAGAATGATTAAAGATTAAAGCTTAGTTCGCAAGGGAAAGCTTTAAATGCCCAAGAGATATAACAATCCATAGTAATGCATAATCCTCATGTTCCAAACTCTCCAAATTTAAAATATTCAATTTAACGTTAAAACTGCTTGACATTCACAAGACTAAAATTTTGAAAAACCAAGCGAGCTGTGGGTACTATAACTCAAGAAAAAACATATACAAGGTGCGCCAGAACTCCTGCCCCAGAGTAAACTCTGTTTAATGTTATTTGTGGCTGTATTATTTTTAAAGATATGACAATTTCTTAAAACAAAGTTGCACAGTTTATTGTCATTTATATTTTTTGCTTTCTGTTTCACCGGAAGTGACATCAATTTCAGTTTTTTTAATGGAACAGCCTGTACATTTTATTATTTCAAGATTTCTCGTTAAATTGTCTTTCAACAAGCTCACTAATTATTATTTATCATTAACTATGGCTTTTAGGAATTTTAAAATTAAATATATTTTTTTTAAATAATGGAGGCGTTTTTATAATCCTGTTAGTATATGTTTAATAAATTTTTATAAAGGGCTTCTCAAAAAGTCACCAACTGCTCAGTGGGACATTGTTGAAAAGCATTTGCAGATTTCGAGAAAAGTTTTAAGAAAATTTTTCTTAAGTTTCCTAGTTTCAATCATGTTTCCACTTGTTTTTTTTATTTTATGTATTTTCTAGCAGGCTTGGAGGTTTCCAAAATAACTAATTTTAATTTTTTATTACAATGACATTATTATTTATAGCTGGACACCTGTCTGGTCTTAAATTAAACAATACTTTCGGTAGTAAAAAAAATGAGACATCAAATTTTTAACACATTTTGAAAATTGACTGTAAAGCAAGCTTTGGCTTCAAATTTTTTACTTTTTACTATACAGGGTGCGCTAGAACTTGCGACCCAGAGAAAAATGAGAAACTAGAAACATGGAAAAAGTTATGCGAGTTAAAATTTTATTTCT